GTTACGGTAGACACAAGAAACTGCGCACCCTTACCCGTTGCTAAAGATGGAAACGCTAAAACTAAACAGAAGCAACGGAACAAACACAACAAACAACAAGCAACTCACAGCTCACCGCGCGTCTTAATAATCCTAAGTCCTAAACACTTAGGCACTTAAAGGTCAACTTATGGTCTCAAATCACACTTAACTTCTTAAAGTTCAACTCTTAACATCCTAGGCTCAAACCTAGGCCCTGATACCAACTGTAACACCCCCGATTTTTACCAACTTTTTAAAACTTAATTTCAAAGGTAAACATCTAATATTCAAGACAAACAACAGTGGAAGCTAAATAAAATCGAAGAGATGTTATGCCACACCCATAAACCATGGGTGCACAGGCTAAAGACTACCAAAAAGCATTAAACATAACAAGTCTAGGCACACAGAACCACTAGTCTAGGCACACAGGCCAACAAAAGATAAACGTCTAGCATGGGATCTATGCTATCTAAAGTCCACATCTAGCGCGCTCGGCATCTACTCAAGACTTGGAAAATCAAGGGATAATACCCGGTCAGCGAATAATGCTGGTAACCCATCAATACGCGTTAAATAACATAGTGCCACCCTGTATTTCTGAGTCCAACCTTATACTGCCGGGGACCGTCGCCCCCCCACCTACACCGCCAATCATTCACCGCCGAACTCTCAGTACACGAGGGTACCATTAATTTCATAATCACACACCACCAATCATGTAAACAAAGCTCAAGTCATTCACCACCAATCACATTTATAGTCACACATAATCATCACTATCATCAAGAAAGGGTACAATGATTTGCATAATATCACACCACAAGAATCAATCAAGAGATCACAACAAAGACATGAGACATTACTCAACAACGAAGATATAATCCAACACCAAATGAATGTCAACACCAGTCGCCAATCCCAATAAGAAAGAACAAACCGCACATACTAGCATATCTACATAAAACTAGCATGCTTGTCAACCTGGTAAACCAAATGTAGTTCCAAAGAACATTCAAGACTCACGTTAGCCCAACGAATCACAAAGTTGGACCCTTAGCACGATTCAAGACACCAAATCCTAACATGGATTCCTAACACACCGTTCTAGACATACGAAACATCAAGAAGACTCACAAATATCCCATAAAATCAACAACGAGAGGTCAAAACATCAATACCGAGAAGAAAGAATAACGGGGAACAAATCCTCGAACATCACCAATAACGTTCCCCGCGGGTGCGGCAATGGGTGGGTCTCCACCCATGGTTCCGCCCGCGGGTACACACCCATGAGAGGCCAGTTCCCCACAGGTAGGCCTCCACCCGTCGTTCCGCCCGCGGGGTACATACCCTGTACACCAAAATTCATTTCGGCGAAAAACATCGACAAGGTCAAGTTCAAGTCCAAAACACCCAAAATCTCACACACAACAAAGATATGACTTGAACCCAAGAAATAGCCAAGCAATGGCATTCAAGAAACCTAAAAATAAGCTCTAAACATGCATCATCACAAGATCATGCATCAAATCTCACAAATCATCACAAGAACAACAAGTAGAAGCCAATAATCATTATTATCAAGTGAAAATAGGTTTTGTATGACATGGGTTACCTTTGAGCCTAACTGTGACACCCCGCAAATCCAAATTCTATTTAAGGATTAATTAAGTAATTAATCCTAATCTAATTTGTAATTTATTCTTTAAATTCCTGAAAATTCAATAGTCGGGGACTAGTAATTGACTAGTCAACCCAAGTCAAGGTGTTGTACCTAAAGCTTTGAGAATAGTTCCCTTGTATCCTTACACTTTTTCATCTTAGTAAGGGTAAAGAGAACTTTTCCCTTATGATTTTATTCCAAGCTAACCTAGAAGACATTTCTCATTCTTTCCCTTACACTCTCAAAACAAAAGCTCTTCCTTCTCTCTAAAATTTGGCTAGCTTTTCTTCCAAGCTAAGTTGGGACTTTCCAAGATCTTCAAAGTTTGTCTCCAAGATTCCACCTTTCCTACTCTTGATCATCTAGGAGGGTAAGATCTTTGGTTCTTTTGTGTTTTTAGTGCTTTCTAAGGTATCTTTTTCTAAAGATGAAATCTTTATGGTCTTTTGGTGTGTTCTTGAAGTTGAGGTTGAAGGAGAACCTTGTTAGGAGCTTAAAAAGGTGTATTAAGTGAAGGTTTTGTTTACAAGAGGTAACCCATGCTTTACAAAATCTATTTTTCTTACCTATATGATGATTTCTTGGATTCTACTTGTGATTTTGCTATGAAATGTGAGTATTGATGCATTGTCTTGTGAAAATGCATATCTAGAGCTTATTATTCGGGTTCTTGTATGCCATTGCTTGGCTATTTCTTTGATGCAAGTCATATTGTTATATTTTGTGAGATTTTGGGTGTTTTGGACTTGAATTTCAGTTTGGAGTTGAAAATCCCCGAAGGGATTATTTTGGTACAGGGTATGTACCCGCGGGCGGAACGGCGAGTAGGGGTCCACCCGCCGCCCCACCCGCGGGGTACGCTTGGTGTGGGAAGTGGTTCCCGCCGGCGGAACCACGGGTGGGGGTCCACCCGTGGCCCCACCCGCGGGTACAAGGTGGTGAATGTGTGGGGATTTATTCCCCGTGATTCGTTTGACTCGGTAATTGATGTTTTGACTTCCCAATCTTCATTTGTTGTGCTTTTATGTGTCTTCTTGATATTTCGTATGTCTAGAACTATATGGTAGGAATCCATGTAGGTTTTGGTATCTTGAATCGTGCTAAGTTTTCAACATTGTGATTCGTTGAATCCTGATGAGTCTTGTATGTTCTTCGGATCTATGTTTTGTTTACCCGTTTGATAAGCATGCTAGTTTGATGTTGAAATGCTAGCGTGTGTGGTTTGTTCTTTCCTTTGTGGATGATGACTTGTGTTGGTTATCGTTGTTGTCGGATTGTGATCCTTCCTTGATTGAGTATGGTTTCATATCTTTGTTGTGATCCATTGATTGATTCCTATGATGAATGTGTGTGTTGGTTGTACCTGGATTGCACGATTAATGGTATGAGACATTAATCACCAAGGTACATATGTGGTCCTTGTGGTGGCCATGCATGAGTTTGGTGGTTTGTTATCGTGAGTATAGCTCACACGGTTTGGCGATTTTGTGATGTGATCTTGAAATGTACCCTCGTGTATTGTGCGTTCGGTGGTTTTGTTTGGCGGTTGTTGGAGGGGGAACGACGGTTCCCGGAGGCAAAAGGTTGGACTTGGGAGTATTGGGTGGCACTCGGAGGTAAAGGTTGGAACCGTAATAAGGCCGGGGGTAGGCATAAGGTTGGAACAGGGCATAAGGTTGGAACTTGGAACTTGTGACATGAGGTGTCATCGTGGCATGAAGTGCAAATGTGTGTGATTGTTTATCCTCTCTTGTTGAGTATGCTGAGTCGTATTCTACTTTGTGATCAGTAGAATACTCCTCGAGTTGTATTTTTTGTTGTTGTGTCTTTGCCTTGGTGTTTCTGCTTTGTGATCAGTAGATTACATCTTAGGCGGTGTTGAGCTGTTCCGTTGTGTCTTGTCTTGACGTGTTGGGATGTGATTCCCTTGTTCTTTGAGAGTGGAATAGAGTCTGTATTGTTGACTCCTATCTTTGGCTTTGAACTGATATACAGTATTCCGTTTCGAAATGATTTTGTAATAAACTATTTATCTATATATGCTATTGACGCGTATTGATGGGTTACTAGCATTATTCGCTGACTGGGCGTCGTCCCATTTATTTATGTGCTTTTCAGGTCCCGAGTAGTGGCGAGCGCGATATAGAGATGGCTAGTGTAGTTCCCCTGAATTTGTTAGTTTTTTTATGGGCCTGTGTGCCTCTTATGATGAACAATAGATTGTTGTTGGTTTGACATTGTCTCTTGTCAGACTTTTAGACTGTTGATGTTGATGATGTTCTTGCCTGTGCGTTCACCCTAGTGTGGACGTGGCATAACACTCTTCGTTTTCCAGTTTTATATAGTTAGACTTCCACTGTGTTTTGCTTATATTGTGGTTAGATTATCTTGCATAATTAAGTTTAAAATGGCATGGAAATCGGGGGTGTTACAGTTGGTATCAGAGCCTAGGTTTGAGTCTAGGATGCTAGAGTCTAGACTTTTAAGTGGTTAATTGTGGTTTGAGACTCTAAGCGACCGTAAGAATCTAAGTGATTAGGACTTAGGACTCTTAGGACGCGCGGTGAGCTTTGTGTTGTTTATAGTTGCTTGCTTGTTTGCGTTTCTGTTTTGTAATAGTGTTGTTGTTGTAGAAGCTCGGTCATGGCTCCATCGCGTCAGCTCGGGCAGGACACGGTGATGTAGTAATTGGGAATTTTCATGTGCAAGCTGTCCCAGCGGTAATCTTGTTCGATTTCGGAGCGTCCAACTCGTTCATATCTCCGAGACTCGTGAAGAAGCTAGGCTTAGCCGAGGGCGTCGGAGTGAAGTTTAGTGTTAAGGTGGCATCTGGAGAAGTTAAAACCTGTGACCACCTCTTCAAACACGTCATGATAAACATCAGCGGGGATGAGTTTCCCAGTAATCTGATCCAGTTCGGCCTAGACGGAGTAGATGTAGTCCTGGGCATGGACTGGCTAGGGCAATTCAGAGCTCAAATCTTGTGTGGTGAGCAGAAAGTGGTTTTGAGAGGGCCAAGCGGGAAGAGAGTGTCATACCGAGGATCAACAGAGGAACCGGGAATCAAGATAGTGTCGATGTTGAAGATGAAAAAGTACGTTGGGAAAGGTCATGAGATCTTCTTGTGCTCCGTCGGAAATCTGAAGGCGAAAGGGGATGCGGCTCAGACCATACCCGTTGTATGCGAGTTCCTTGATGTCTTTCCCGAGGAGATTCCGGGTATTCCACCTCCGAGAGAAGTTGAATTCTCAGTGGATCTTGTACTCGTACGGCGCCTATATCGAAAGCTCCTTTTCGGTTAGCGCCCAAGGAGATGCAGGAGTTGAAGACCCAGTTGCAGGAGTTGTTAGAAAAGGGCTACATCCGGCCGAGTACGTCTCCGTGGGGAGCGCCGGTGCTTTTTGTAAAGAAGAAAGATGGGAGCATGAGACTATGCATCGACTATCGAGAGCTGAACCAAGCCACTATCAAGAACAAGTACCCTCAACCGCGGATCAACGATTTGTTTGATCAACTCCGAGGCGCCGGGGTGTTTTCTAAGATTGACCTAAGATCTGGATATCATCAGTTGAAGGTGGCAGATAGGGATATTCCTAAGACCGCATTCAATACTCGTTACGGTCATTACAAGTTCACGGTGATGCCGTTCGGTTTGACAAATGCCCCCGCAGTGTTCATGGATTTGATGAATTGGGTATTCAAGACTCATCTCGACGATTTTGTGATCGTGTTTATCGAAGACATCCTTGTGTACTCTCGGGATAAGGAAGAGCACGTAGGGCATCTCTGGATAGTACTCTAGATTCTGAGGGAAAAGCAGTTGTACACCAAACTCTCGAAATGTGAATTCTGGAAGGATAGCGTGGCATTCTTGGGTCATGTGATTGACAGCAAAGGCATCTAGGTGAATCCGGATAAGATTCGGGCGGTGAAGGAGTTGACCGTGCTGACGACCGTGGCGGAAGTGAGAAGCTTCCTTGGGTTAGCTGGTTACTACCGAAGGTTTGTGTTGGAATTCGCCAAAGTGGCTCAACCGTTGACTAAGTTGTTAAGGAAGGACATGCATTTCCAATGGAATCAAGCTTGTGAGTTAGCGTTCCGGGAATTAAAAGAGAGGCTCACTGTAACACCCCGAAATTTTGAAACTTTTAAAGCTTATATGATAAAGGTAAAATTCTCATTAAATCCCAAAACATAACATAAGAGTACGGGGTGTTATGCCACACCCGAGTTAGAGAACTCAGGTGCACAGGCTAACTAACTAATATCCTTGATAATGTCAACACATAAGCATGGCACGCAGGCCGAAAGGGAAGACTATCTACTCTACGCTCCAGGTCTCTAGCACGCTCCAGTGTCTACTCATTTGTGCCTGAAAGCCAAATATATCTGTTCAGTGAGAGATGCTGGTAACCCACTCCAACGCGTTGAAATACATTAAAGATATATATATATATATATATATATATATATATATATATATATATATATATATATATATATATATATATATATATATATATATATACGAAAACCATTTTGAAGCAGGAAGATATATACTTAAGAGACACTAGTTTTAAAACCAAGGATAGACTCGACAGATAGGGATAAGCACATTCAACAGTTATAATCAAGCACATAAAGATACTAGCATATATCCTATGGTCACAGATTCACTTCATCTCATTCATATCATCATTCCAATTCGTCTCTCATCACACACAAGCACACTTTGGTGGCGCCACAGGACCAATCGCATGCCCATACATGAGGGTCAACGCATATAGCTCTAACACGGCCCCGTAGCACCCTGCCTCGTATCGCAATACGAAGGGATCGATCGCAACCGACCGATGAACCGCAGCTCATCATAATGTTTGATCCCAACCAAACAGTGGACCGCAGCCCAAGAGTAGTCATCTGACCCCAACCAGGTATATGAACCGCAGCTCATGTAAAATGTTTGATCGCAACCAAATGGTGGACCGCAGCCCGAAAGTGATCATCTGACCGCAGCCAGGATGAACCGCAGTTCATGTAAAACGTTTAATCGCAACCAAACGGTGGACCGCAGCCCAAGAGTGTAATTCTAACCGCAGCCAGCTTCTGAACCGCAGCTCAGGAATAACCAATTTGATCACAACCAAATTGGGGTATCATGCACACATAGCACATAGCAAGCACATGCAACTCATATTAGCACATTGGGAAGGGGAGAAAACGTATAAAGAAACCTATGCGTGGTCATCCACAAACTAGGAATAGTCGTAAGGGGTTCATACTTCTTTCACCTAGGCCAACGGAATACCAATTCAACTAGCATGCGATATATAAGACTCATTTATCCTACGAACGGTACCCAAAACATCAAACTAGACTTAGGCACGGTGAACGGAGTCCGTTGGGACACCACGAGGGTCGGGGAAACATCAAATGGGGAAGCCGGAGTCCCGAGTTGGACAATTTCCAGCGGGTAGCCGGTGGGTGGAGGACCACCCGCCGGCGACAAGTCTCCGGGCAGCGGGTGCCAGCCTACCCGCCGGCTGCCCGCTGCCGGCGACGCCCTTCTCGGGCAGCGGGTAGGTGGCGGGTCCCCCTACCCCACCTACCCCCCACTGACTCTTTATCAAAATAAACGTCCCGGGATCCGTTGTGGAACCCGAAACCATGCTTAGACACTTTTAAACGCAATTGATGATACCACGTAGACAATTAACGGATCAAAAGCAAGAATCATATAGCACATATCCTATCATGACTTCTAAACATAATCAACACCCGAACATGCGAAATCCCACCCAATTATACCAAGAATAACACAATAAGAAATTCCCCAGTTTAACCTAGGGCTCTAATCATATTCAAATCAATAAAATCATAGTTCATCTTTTAATTACCAAAACATCAGGATTCATCAAGAACATCTCATAATCATCAAGAACCTCTTATCATCATCAAGATCACACATAAAATCATCTCACAATCATCAAGAACATATCATCAATATCATAAACGATTCATCAATACACAAGTATAGAGAGGAGGCCAAAGAAGATAATTATAGCAAGGAAAATAGGTTTTGTTGAGACATGGGTTATCTCATTCCCTTATCAATTCAAAACACTGTGAATGAGACCTGTTAATCAAATTGGACTTTCACTATATAATTGAGCCAATACAATAATTAAACCCTAAAGGATTCCGACCCTAGATTTTCTCCCAACACCATCTATGTCCTACCCAACTAAGCTAATACTCCCTTTAGTAATTATTTGCACCACTAATTCACAATAATCAGTTTAATCATTATCAATAACCCAAAACATAATTAATTTGTAATATAATGTGCTTAGCTTGAGATTTGAACCCTAACATTCCCTAAAGCCCATCACGAGTCTAACCAGCTAAGCTAAGCACCCCTTGGTGATTTTACTGTCATTAATTGTTTTTATCCCTAAGTAGTCAAGAATGACTATAATGACAACTTACCTTCATCTTCCTCTTCGTTCTGTTTGCCGAGGAGCAGCGGGTGACTCCCGGAGAACTCATCTCCTGTCGCCAACCCGCCGCCACCTGCTCGTACGTTCGTTGGGAGAGGGGTCGCCGTCTTCATTGTTGCGTGACTCCGTTGCTGCCGCCGGTGTTGCCGAACACCCCTCGCCGTACTGCTGCTCCGTTGTCCGAGTTCCGTTGCCGTCTTGATGGAACGAAGGAAGGGGTTGGGGAAACAAGGGCGATGGAGAGGTTGGTGAGTTGTTGGGGTTTCGCCGAGGGGGGGGGGGGGGGGGGGAATGGCCGTAGGAAAAAGGGGGGGTTTCGTACGTATATATATGTTTATGCATACGTATGTCTTCTTCGTATAGGATTAGTTGTATACGTATTTGTATGGCTTGTGTGGTATTGTCTTGGAAATAGGGAAGAAGAGGGGGTGTTTGGTTCCTTCTTCTTCGGACATATGTACTTACTATATATATATATATATATATATATATATATATATATATATATATATATAAATATATATATAGATATACGCAGGCATATATGCGTCTTCCAATCCATCTATGTATAATAATAATATTTTTTTTATTATTATTATTATTATTAATATTATTATTATTATTATTACTATTATTATTATTATTATTATTATTATTATTTGGTTTCCTAAAAGGACTTGGGTTAGGTGGGTCAAGATTAAATATATTTGGGCTTGGGCTACTTAATACTTATTGGGCATATATGACATAAGTATATATCCTATGTATATATTTGGGATCAGGGTTTGGGTATTTAATATCATAGTTTATATACTAATTATCTCTAGTAGAATATTTAGACTTTAGGGTCTTAATTATAGGTAAGGGTACATGGTCCTCTGTGGGTCATATTAATCAATTAATGGAAGTTGATTCCTTATTAACTGTTCTTGGTGGAATTAATCATATAATTAATTCCAGGTTTGGGATCGTAACACGGGGTGTTACACTATCCCCCCCTTACAAGAAACTTCGTCCTCGAAACTTAGAAATTATTTTGGAATAGAGGGTCAAAAACTGGTATGGTGGTCCTGAGGGAACATATTCTATGGGGGAGTATATGTAAACACCTACCTCATTACCCTAGGTCCTGGGAGTGGTGTGGTTTAAGAGGGTAAAGTGTAACACCCCCAAAACAACAAGACCTAAAAACAAGTCTTAACACGTGCAGATTAACAACAAAACTAGCACAGCGGAAGATAAACGAAAACTGGATAAAAGAAATCCAAACAGGGGTGTTATGCCACGTATACCACGCTAGGTAACGCTAAGGCGACAATCTGCAAGTGTATCACACTAACCCAAAACATCAATCTAAAACAATCTAAAACCATTGGCGCGCAGGCCACAAAAACACAGTCTAAAGGTACAGGTGCTAAGCTACCAGGCTCTAGACATCGCGCTCGACTACTCAACACCTGAAAGAACACAAAGATAAACATCAGGGCGACGCCCGGTCAGCGAAAGATGTTGGTAACCCACCAATACCGTTAAGTATCATAAATAGGTAAATATAAGATATAAAAACCATTTTCGAAACGGAATACATATATATAAGTCAAAAGCCAAGATCAAAAGACAACACAAGACTCACCACTCACAATGCTAACACCGGGAACACGTCCCAACCACAAAGGTTAACCACACACAAGGATAAAGACTCACCCAACGGCAACACATGCCAAACAACACAAGCCTCCGTGACTACACACGTCACGAGAGAAGATCACACAACAACGGCTACACAAGTCCTCGTGACATCACCCATCACGAGTTGATATGCCTTCCTTATGCCATGTTCCAACCTTATGGCTACCCCCAACCTTGTACCTTCAAGCCAACCATTACCTCCAGAAATCCCCTGTACAGCCAAGTCCAACCTTATTCCTCTGGGACCGTCGTCCCCCTCCAACAGACCACCAACGAACCACCACCAATCACGGCAACACATGCCCGGATAACACAATGTTTTCCCCCAATCACGTGAACCTTTATCGAAGGAACACAACTCCATAATCACGTCATTGCCACCACGAGGACCGCTGCAATACCTTGGTGACTAGCGTCCCATACCACTAATCGTGCAATCCAAGTAGAGCCACACACGCACCACCACTCACTCGAATCAATCAACGGATTGCAAAGTAGGTATGAAACTTACTCAATCAACGAACGGGTCACAACCCAACGACAACAACGATGAATAACATGAGTTATCATCAACCAAACGGAAGGTACAAACAACAGACACGCTAGCATTAAG